CCCAAATGTCGTTTGTGTTGAGTCCCAATTGACGCCAATCAAGTCCCAAACGTTGTCAACTGAGTTCCAAATGTCGTTTATGTTGAGTCCCAAATGACGTGAGTCCCAAATGACGTGATACCAATCAAAATGCCTGGAATAGACTGAATTATTGAATACCGTAGTAGATATTCCAGTATTTTCATTCATTCACTCCAGGGAAACTGATTAGTGATATGGCATTAATTTCTAGTACCTAGTGCAAGTGGGCTTTTCAAATTTGCGATTTTCCCGTAGACAATTTCGGCCATTAATATGGGTGAGCTATCTGGTCTTGCAACAGATTTTTATTCATTTTGATACAATAATAGGACCCATATCTTGTGTCATCTAACTAGTCTAGGCTATAGTAATCCATTTTTTCTTGCAGTAATAATAATAATAATAATATTGCTTATAGTAACTACTCATAAGGAATAGCCAAAAATTGCATTTTAATCTCATACTCATAAATAGCAGATTAGAGCTTGCTTATGTTATTATTGACATGTTAAATCACCTGAATAAAACCAATCAGACTGAAAGATCAAAAGATTAACTTTTAATCACCTGGCTAAAACATGTTTAACATTAGTGACAACGAATAGACTATTATTAGGTCCTATTTCTTTTTATCTTCACATTCATATTAGCCTAGTAGTACGCCTATTTATATGACCCTTTTTAACCTTGCAAAATCATTGTATTTTTAGAATGATAGGATAGTGTGCTCATGTGTTGGCAATAATAATAATGATTGAAATGGAAGATAGCAGGATAGTAAAATGTCCCTTCTCAACCATCATCGAGGAGTTTACCACAGCAGCGAAAATTTAACCAGACCCTGTTTTATGGGGCGCCGTTTGTAAAATAATTATTTAATTTTTTTTATAGCAAAAAACATTAGATTTAACTTCGAATATATATATTTAGATAAATATTAGAACAAAAATGGCATATATGTAAATATCAAAAAATATTGTAGCTAAAAGTCGAGTTTTTGGTCTATGAAAAACTTTAAATGTTATATTTTGATTTCACATCGCTTAGTTAAATATATAGCTAAATGTGCTGTTTTTCGTAGATATAAATGCTAAATACTAAATCACTGAAAAATCTAAAGTTAAATATTTAGCTAAATATATAAACATTTAGCTAAATATATAAACATTTAGCTAAATATTAACATTTAGCTAAATATATAAACATTTAGCTAAATATATATATTTAGTTAAATATATAAATTTAGTTAAATATATAAACATTTAACTAAATATATAAACATTTAACTAAATATATATATTTAGTTAAATATATAAACAGTTAACTAAATATATAAATATCATGCTAAATATATATGTTTAGTTAAATGTATAAATATTTAACTAAATATATATTTGTGGTCCCGCCAATATTTCTATTATCGTAAGCGACACAAAAAACTGCGCATAAAATGATGACGTGTACCCGACACGTGAGTCTTGGCACAATAGGCCTACTAGCAATTAGAAATGGAAGCTGACCACGAACTTGTAACCCGAATCACGGCCGCGGTACTCCGTGCCGTTCGCACAGATCAAGGCAAGGTGCAGTCAATGAAAAGTTGTACACTACGTCATCGTTTAGTGTGAAGTCGCTTACAACAATAATTATTTTACAAACGGCGTGGTACGGTTGCGCTTTGTAAATTTAACTATATGTTTAGCTAAATATATAATTATTTAGCTAAATATATAATTATTTAGCTAAATATATAATTATTTAGTTAAATATATAAATATTTAGCTAAATATATATTATTTAGCTAAATATATATTATTTAGCTAAATATATATTATTTAGCTAAATATATATTATTTAGCTAAATATATATTATTTAGCTAAATATATATAAATGTTTAACTAAAAATATAAATGTTTAACTAAAAATATAAATGTTTAACTAAATATTTTAACATTTAACTAAATATATATTTAGCTAAATGTTTAAACATTCAACTAAAAATTTAGCTAAATATTTATATATCATCAAATCTCTTGTTTTGGTCTTAATATTCAATGCTAAATGTTAAATATGAAAATAGAGACAAATCAAGAAAAATTTATATATATTATGTTAAATATTGAGTTTTTGTTGTATTTTTAGTTTAAATATTAAAAGTGAAAAATTTGCACAAAAGTCGAGATTTAACTATATATATAAATTTAAATTAAATCTAGTGTTTTTTGCTATATAAAAAGCTAAATAATTAATTTACAAACGGCGCCCCATACTGTTTCACAGATTATAATTTCAAGACAGAAAAAGAAAGCCTGTGATGGCTAATTTTAACGACAACAGGTAGGTGTTCAGATGACATGTATGGACAACCACCACATAAGAAAAAGTTCTTAGGTAGTCATATAATTATTGTGATCGTCCAGTTAAAAAGTATGGTAAAATACAAGGAGTGTCTACATGTATACATACTTATAGTATATTTTGTTATATAATTCTGTAAGTTGTGCTAGATTTTTAAATTTGCTGTGCAATACATTTAGAATTTTGACTGGTTATGGGTAGATAGAGAGAAATGGGATGTAACATCCAATAGACATAAACTGTCCTTTGGGACTAAGTGATTCAATTCAAGTTGAATAATTCACTCGCACCGGGAATCTTTAGTAGTGGGAGGACCCAGAGAAACCCCATGTTCAAGTTGGTTGTCGAAACTAAACCACTTGACTCAATGACAGACCTTATGATCTAAAGCGCACACGTTGGACCACTCAACTTCTAGCCCCTCCCACGAGTAAAGAACATTTGATTATTGGTTGACTGTACTTCCCATTTACTGCCGCAAATAATGAATAATTTTGAAGGTTTTAATGGTTGGTTATATTTTCGTAACTTTGCTCATCAAAATTTGACATTAGAATTGCATCCGAAAATGATGTTTATTTAATGTTAGATTTACGTCATAATGGTCGGTTAGATTTCCATCATTTTGCTCATCCTTTTAACAACAATTTAACGTCAGGAAATGACGTTAATCTAGCGTAAAGTTTACGTCATTTTTACGTTATCTTCACGTCATTTTCTGGCGTAAATCTAACGTAAAGTTTACGTCATTTTCTGACGTAAATGTAACGAAAGTGACGTAAACTTTACGCAAAATTTACGTTAGATTTACGTCAAAAAATGACGTAAATATAACGTAAAAATGATGTAAAGTTTACGTTAGATTAACGTCATTTCCTGACGTAAAATTATCGTTAAAAAGATGAGCAAAATGATGGTAAACTGACTGACCATTTTTACGTAAATGTAACGTAAATTTAACATCATATTGTTATGTGGGTAAAGGGAAGTTTAGTCTCCTTCAATTTTAAAATTACTTGATGTACTGATAAATTTGCCATACATTCAAGTGCATTATTATTGCTGAAATCAACATTGTCATCCGCCTTTCGAAGAAAGCAGGGGACTAATAAAATGGGCCTGTTCGTCTGTCTGTTCATCAAGCCAGTCTTATGCCAAGTTTGTTCAATTTTTGTCGCTCTTAAGTGATATGTTTGGTTTCCTGACTTGATTAGCTAGCTTTTAGGCTTTGTTTCAGTTATGGACTCTTAATTTTAATTACGTTCATTCGTTAGTGACCATTGACCTTCGTCACCTTTGAACGAGTCTTAAGCAAGGTTTGTTCAACTTTTGTCGCTCTTAAGTGATATTTTTGGTTTCATGACCTGGTTAGCTAGCTTTTAGGCTTTGTTTCAGTTATGGACTCTAAATTTTAATTACCGTCACTAATTAGTGCTAATTGATTAAGCTCTTAAGTAGCATTAATTTAGCACAACATTGTATGCTCCTAAGTCATGCATTCTGTTTCTTAGTGTTAAGTGTGAAATTCTTGCAAAAAAATTGTAGATGGACATTGAATTTTAACTCCCATTAAATATGGGAGGGTTAGGGGGAGCGCTCCCAGGTATATGCACAGGTTACAAAATTTAAGACTTGTCTTTCCAAAATGATCTAGGGGTAAAATATGTGTTGTAGACCTCAAACCTTTTGGACTCAATATTTTGATTCAATCTCACTGGGCTCCTGGACTAGGTTAGCGAGACGAAGAAGTCTATTTAATTTCAACAATTTCCGTTCATTACTCTAGAGTTATAGTCCTTGTTTCACCTTGTTAAACCTTGTGAACATTCTGTGGACTAAAGTTATCACCCAATCGGTATTACATTTACGTGTATTATTTAAATTAGTCAAACGAAGAAAACTATTAAATTTCAGCAATTTTCGTTTGTAACTTCTAGGCCCTTGCCTGACTTTGTTGAACCTTGTGAAGTGAACACTCCAACGACTTAAGTTATCAACAGATCTGTATTAAATTTACATGCATTATTTAGATTAGTAAAATGAAGAAGACTCTTGAATTTCAGTTAATTACTTCTAGAGTTATGGTCCTTGTTTCACCTTGCTGAACCCCTTGTGAACGCTATAATGACAAAAATTATCATCTGATCTGTATTAAATTTAAGTGCATTACCGAGATTAGTAAAACGAAATGCCTATTGAATTTCTGATCTCTTGAAAGACAAAGTTGTCATCTATTTGTATGAATTTTTAATAATTTCAAAATTTCTGTTAATAACTTCTACAGTTATGCCCACTGTTTCACTTTGCTGAACCTTGTGAACAATATCGATCTGTACGACAAAAGCATACATACGTGACAATCCTCATCGACCGCCCTGGGTGTATGTTTTTATTGCCTGGCAACCTATCTTTAATTACAGCCATCTTACCTTATTAAAAGCATATATGCCCTAATTACACTTTCTGTTAAAATAGGAGGCTCAGTATGTCAGTGCCTTACTTTCTAAGTCGCCGTGGCACCATGTTTAAATGTTCTATATTTGAGCTGCAATCTCTATCTATCTATTGATAATCTTGGTAGATATATGAAATAATATTTTAAAACTAAAGAACAAGGTCATTGAGGAGCTATACATATTTTTATTAGCATAGGTTTACTATAGTTAACGGGCGCTAAATTTGGCAATGACGTTTAAAATGTATAATTTGAAAGATTTAACATAAATTTGGTAGTTTTATTCTATTTTATTAATACGAATACAGCAGGGCCAAATACAGAGGGTCTGAACTGTTAACAGTGTGTGTTTTATACAGGATGTCATAACAGCCATAAACCAAAACGGACAAAATTCACTCTGGTCAAAATAGCAATCTTTTGATATATTTTACAAACCATTGCCTTTTCTTTGATACAAATAACAATTGAGGTGGTTATTATATAATAAAAACAGCGATTGTTTCCCATACAAATTGCCACTTCAAAGATTATGACTCTTAATTCTTAATAATCTGATAAAAATAACAATTGACTTAATCATTTTGACCAAGGTACCATCTTATCATAATCAATTGAAATGTTTATTGCCAACCTGGAATCACACTTTTCTATTACAGTACTGATTACATCACAATTATTTTTATTTTGAAGTCAAAGGTAAAAGACATCTAATTGTTTTAACCATTAGCTATTTTTCTTTTTTATCCAAGCTCAAGAAATGGTCAGCCGGTCCTAAAAGGACCTCTATACGCAGCTTGGGTAAAATCTGGTCGTTGCATTAATGTTCAGGAAGGGAGGGGGGATGTCATCAAAGTAGATGAAAGTGAATATGTGTTACCAGAACAGCCAAATGTCAAATAAGCTGAAGGATATTTGACTCTACCACATTGAGGGCCTTTGATGAAGTTTATGCTTGATGTTGAAGTTAAGAGTGTCCAAGCTATTTGGAGACAATAATTGAATTTTTAATAAATAAGAAATATCTAATTTGCCGTTGTGACCAAAATGTTTGTTATTTTGACCAAATTACGGCTGCTATGTATACATATAGTGGGGCAGATTAAGACAACATTCCATACGAATCTTTCACTTTGTGATGCAAGCCCCAAATTTGGCACAAATGGTGTTCAGGGTGTACTTTTTAAGAAATGTAAGAAATGAATGAATGAACAGAAATGTGTTAATGATCAACTGAATTCCAATCTGGCCACCCGTTTCATCATGGCGGCTATTACCTGACTCAAAATTAGCGTTACCGGAAGCCGTCTCATCACAGATATTGCATTAAGTTGAAGGGCAACATCCATGATCATTTATTGAAATGCTGTGGTCAGGCTCTATTGGTTTGTTGATCTTATATGAGTGATGTCAAAGCAAAACCAGGGCACACTGGTGACATCACTGCTGTGAGACTCAGCATGGGGCTCAGTGTCGGGGTGTAGTGTAATACCTGTAGTTGTAGTTTATTAACTGTTGTAATCATATACCAGTACTTTAGTGTCCCAAATGCTATCTAATAAGCCCCTGTATATATCATTACTAGAAGTTTAATTAGTTGTAGTTAGGTAGCTCCACCTGAATTGACAGGATGTGCCAGCACCGGAGAGCCAAGGGTAACAGGGCTTCAGTTACCTGGTCGGTGTACAGATTGCATGTGACTTAAATTGCACTGGATGAACGATCGGGCTAGGTGTAGAGCACCAGATGCTTGAAATTTTTATTTTCTAAATGCAGAATTGGATATCTCACTCAAAAACATATATTTCGATGTAAAGACCATCAAAATAGGAATATTCAATCAAAATACAGTTCAAACAACGCTTGAAACGGCTTTGAATGTGCCAAATATGGTGATTGTATCACCAAGTGAAAGATTATTTCAATAATCTGCACCACTAATAATCTATATCATACAATAAGCATAATCCACACAAATATATAGCAACACCTCCACTGCATCTCTGTTTTTATTTATCTACACATTGGCGATGGGCTTGATAAAATAAGCTGATTTATTGTTTCAGTTCACACCTGAAGCAACATAACATTACTTAAACTGCATCAGATAGTGCTGCTACTCCTGGAAGTGTCTTTCCTGCAATAAATATAAAAAAAAATACCAACCAGTCATTTTCTATCAGGCAAGTTGTGAAAATATGTACTAGTGTCAAAAGTTCAGAATCAAGGTAATAACTGTCAATATTAGAGAACATCTTAAATATTATTTAGAGAACATCTTAAATATTACTTAGAGAACATCTTAAATATTACTTAAAGAACATCTTAAATTTTACTTAGAGAACATCTTAAATATTACTTAGAGAATATCTTAAATATTACTTAAACACATCATTAATATTACTTAGATGACATCTTAAATATTACTTATAGAACATCTTTAATATTACTTAGAGAACGTTTTAAATATTACTTAGAGAACATCTTAAAGATTACTTAAACACATCTTTAATATTACTCAGATGACATCATATTACTTACAGTAAAATACAACTTAGAGCACATCTTATGATGTAAAAATGAACTCACCCAAACTGGTAAATAACTTGATGCAGTTTGATTGTCAACAAAATTTGTGCATGGACAGATGGACAGATAACGTTAATAACAACAACCTACATTTAGAATATTTACCTTCTAGAAGTTCCAAACTTGCTCCACCTCCTGTACTGACATGGCTGACTTTTGTTTCGGTTCCATATTTAGCTGCACAAGTAGCTGTATCTCCTCCACCTACAAATAATATAATTTCATTTACAACACGTAAATTAACCTTCATCTGCAATATACCTTATTGTAGAAGCAGATGTTAAAAACCAACCAGCAATCAGGCAATAATTTATCTATACTATTCCAAAAAAGTAGGGGATATTTGATTTTTAAGTGTTATTAAAGTCACCTAATGAAACTGACGAAGAAACAAATGACAAAATGAAATGAAGTTCACATTCATCGATTTATTCCAAATGATCGTTAGACTAAGTAAGGCACAGACTGACCATTATAAGGGTAAAATGATACCCGGGGTCAAACAGCAAAGTTACCACAGCATCACAACCAAGTCAGTAACGGGTAAATCCTCCTCTGTTTGCCAAACAAGCATTGATCCGACGTGGCATACTCTTGGACATTGGCAGGACGTTGTTGACGTTGACATAACCTCTGTCCAAGCATGTCCCAGACATGCTCGATGGGGGAGAGGTCGGGACTCAGTGCTGGCCAAGGTAATGTGGTGATGTTCTGTTGTTGGAGGTAACCTGTAACGATCCTGGCCCTGTGACATCTTGCGTTGTCATCCTGGAAGATGAAACGGCGGCCATGACGTCGTGCGAACGGCACAACATGGACTGCCAAGATGTTGTCCCGGTAGTACTGGCCTGTAACACGCCCTGCAACAACATGTAAAGCCGTTCTTCCAGCAACAGTGATGCCTCCCCACACCATAACAGAACCACCCCCAAATCGATCATGTCTGATGACGTTAACGTCTTGGAAGCGCTCGTTTCGACGACGCCACACCCTCCTACGTCTGTCCAAAAAATCAACAGTGAACCTTGACTCATCTGAAAACATCACATTGCTCCAGCGTCGATTATCCCAGTGTTGACGATCCCTACACCAACGACGTCTTGCCTGAATGTGATGATCTCTCAAACAAGGGATCACTCGAGGACGTCGGGCGCGAAGGTGACCCCTATGCAGTCGATTCCGAATCGTCTGGCCACTCACTCTCACACCAGTGTCTGTTTGAAGACGAGCGCTGATCTGATTTGCTGTGATGACACGATTTCTCAAGGCCAAGGTACGGATAAATCGATCCTGGGCTTGAGTTGTCGCCCTTGGTCGACCTGAGCGTGGTCTGTCCTGTACAGATTGTGTATCACGGCATCTGGACCAAAGCCTGCTTATGACAGACTGAGAAACATTCATCGTCCGCGCCACAACCGCCTGTGTTGTGCCGATCTGTAGCATGCCAAGGGCACGTAACCTTTCATTTTGGGTAAGCCAACGCATATCAAAATTTGTTTTCTGGTCACTAAAACAATTAAACTGATGTTTCCACCCTGGAATTCAATGCCACAATGACTGTAACATTCAAAGTCAGAGTCGTGCAAATCTTGGGTTGGACCCCCATGATGATCCCAAGCATCACCTGCATTCCATGCGGTAGCTATTGGTGCGTTTGGGCGTCACATGTAACTGGAAATGTTTCTTCTGTTAGGTTCTATAGTGACTTTTTTCGTAGTCATTTGCATATTTTAGTATTATGCCCCCAAAATCAAATATCCCCTACTTTTTTTGAATAGTATAGTACAATATGATGTTCCCCACCCACCCTTAACTAGATGGCACTTTTATAATGTGACCCAGTGAGTAAGGCGCTATTTGTGTTGGCCGTGGACTTCCATATGAGGACTTCAGAGGAGCAGAACAGAGGGCCAGGCATTCTACCTCAACTAGAAGCAAAGTTATTGTGTACTACGAGCTATCTATCACACAATGTATAAAATTTCAGGTTTATCGGATGATTACTTTAGCCTCTAGAAAGATTGATGAATTAGTTATGTATTCATCTTCAAGTTATATCCATTTCTTGAAATTGTTTTTTTTTTTTTTTTCCAGAGATAAAGCCGTTGACGTGAGTTTTCTAAAGGACCTACGATTGTAATGATTTTGTGATGGATATAAAACATTTACATGTGTGTTTTAATTAGTGTTATTATGGCCTTTACCTTATCTTACGAGATTTAATCTAACAACATTTTGGTATGTTGTTGCATAATGTTCATCTTAGACTTTTATTAGATTATTATTACAGATTGGCATCAAATGATGACAATTTTATGAAAATGGAATAATAAATGACTATTTCATGGGCAAAAACCTTGAAAAGTGATGTGTTGAAAAATTTCCATTTCTCGGCAACCCAACAACTTTATAAAAGACAGGATACCAGGCAACAAAACACGCGTACACAGCAGCTAAATCATACGAGCAGTCGACAAGGTTTGTTGCAGATTTATTCTTTTGTAGGTAATGAGAGAATTTACATACAGTTCGAATGATATCAGTCAGTCTTTAGAGTATTCACAATATTGAATAAAGTGAAACAAGGGCCATAACTGTAGATGCTTAACACTTGCTGAAATTCAACAGACTTCTTCATTTTACTAATTTAGATAATGCATACAAATTTAATACAGATCAAATAAAGAATTTCACTGTTAGAGCATTCACAAGGTTCAACAAAGTGAAACAAGGGCAATACCTCTAGCCGTAATTAATTGAAATTGCTGAAATTCAATAGGCTTCTGAATTTTACTGATCTAAATAAAGCAAATAAATTTAATACAGATCATATGATATAGCATTCACAAGGTAAAACAAAGTGAAAAAGGGCCATAACTCTAGAAGTAATTAATGGATATTTCTGAAATTCAATAGGATTTTCATTTTACTAATCTAAATAATGCATGTAAATTTCATACAGGTCGGGAGATAACTTCAGCTGTTAGAGCATTCACAAGGTTCAACAAAGTGAAATAAGGGCTAAACCCTAGAAGTGAAACAAGGGCCACAACTCTAGATGTACTTAACAGAAATTGTTGAAATTAAATAGGCTTCTTCATCTCACTAATGTAATAAACAAATATAATAAATAAATGTAGTCTGTAGACATAGTGAACAATGGACGGATGGATGGACGGCAATATACCACCACATTTCCATGTGGGCGTATAAAAAACTAATTTTTGATATCTATGACTGAATACACATGTCATTTGCTGATTTAAATTAAATGCCAAAATTCTATTTTGATCTGAATAATATATTGGTCTTAAAGGTTAAATATACAGTTTTTACTCAAATGTTTTCAAATATGATGGCCATGTCTAATTCAACAAGCCAACAGTGAGGCTGATGTCCCCCACCGAAATCCTTAAATAAACAGATAACACTTTGACACATATTAATTAATTGCAAATGTATCTTTTCCAAAAGGATCGAGTAATCAAACTGATTATTACGCTTAGTCTAAACATAAAATCTTCAAGATCAAACTCAGTCAAGGTTTTAAAGTACCTGGTAGTGAAATTTTACACTAAGTTTCATCACTCTCCATTCAACCACCCTATAACTTGACAAGTGGCTTTATGTAAAATGTCTATTTCTTGGCAACTGCTATTGAGTTAAAAATAGTAACTGTGATTATTTGTGATTAACATAAGATCAAAATTTTCAAATTGAATCTATTTTCAGACATGCTCATAGAATAAATAGGCTAATATCTGACATTAATAAAATATAATTATTACTTAATGTGGATTGGCAGCAAATATAATCTTTTCCCTTAATATGTGCCCCCTCCCCACAAGACAATTACCTATGATAGTTGTTGCTCCCTGTTCTGTTGCTTTAACAACAGCATTCATTAGACCTTGTGTTCCTTTTGAAAAGTTAGACAATTCAAATACTCCTGGTGGACTAAAAAACAAACAAAAAAAACAAAAAAACAATTAGAGTACACAGACGGGGAGAGATTATTATTATTATTATTATTATTATTATTACAGCATATTTATAGTGCACCCTTTCATATAACATGTAAATCACACATAAACAACAAGATTATGGGCATGTTAACGATTGTATACAGAGTCAGTTAAAAGCCTGATTAAATAAATGTGTTTTAAGTTGTTTTTTTAAAAGAATATAGAGATGTACAACATCTTAAACTAAATGGTAGATTATTCCATAAAACAGGTGCTTGATAACTAAAAGAGCGCTGACCATAAGAGACTAGTTGCACAGTTTTGGGCTTTAAAAGTAGTTTATCTGATGTCCGTAATGTTCGGCCAGGTGTATAAAGGTCTAAAAGATCTGAGAGGTAAACAGGAGCTAAATTATTTAAACATTTAAAAGTAAGTAATAAAATCTTAAAATCAATTCGATATTTAACAGGTAACCAGTGTAAATTATATAAAACAGGAGTTATGTGGTCACATTTCTTAGTTAAAGTAACAAGTCTAGCCGCAGTATTCTGTACTTTTTGTAATTTATCTATAAGCTTTAAAGGTAAACCAACTAAAAGTGAATTAAAGTTATCTAATCGAGAAGTGACCAGAGAATTAACAAGTGACTTAGTGGCCTCTACAGTTACACATTTACGTATTTTACCTATATTTCTAATATTAAAATAGCACAATTTACAAATATTATTTACTTGAGCTCCCATAAGCATAAAACTATCAAAGATAGCGCCAATATTACCAGCAGAATAAGATGAAAATATATCACAATTACCAATTACAACAGGGGGGTTATCTTGTGCAGATTTACTTAATTGATGCCTTAAGCCTAATAACAAATATTCGGTTTTATCATCATTCAATTTTAGAAAGTTCTTTGACATCCATTTTCTAATTTCACTAATACAGTTCTCAAGTTGCAATTTTGATAAATTGAAAGAAGATGGACAATTAGGTGTAAATGAAATATATAATTGAGTATCATCGGCATACAAATGAAAGCTGAGCCCATAATTTCTGACAGTATCTCCTAATGGTGACGTATAGAAGGTAAATAAAATCGGACCAAGAACAGAACCTTGGGGAACCCCAGATGACAAAACAGATTCAGACGACGATTTGCAATTAACTAAAATACACTGTTTTCTACCCACAAAATAGCTCTCTAAAAGATTTAAGGCAGAGCCACAAATACCGAATTTAAATTGAAGTCTACGTAGAAGAATGGAAGGGTCCACCGTGTCGAAAGCAGCAGATAAATCTAATAAAATTAAAAATGTACATTTTCTATTATCAATTTCCATTAAAATATCATTTGAAACCCGGGTTAAAGCTGTTTCGGTACTGTGAAATTGTTTATAAGCACTTTGAAATGGTTCATACAAACAGTTATCATCTAGATGGGCCTTTATCTGAGAAGCAATACATTTTTCCAATATTTTAGAAATAAAACTTAAGTTAGAGACTGGCCTGTAATTTTTAAAAACATTAGGATCCAGTGTAGACTTTTTAATTAAAGGGGTAACATAAGCTCGTTTGAAAACGTTGGGAATAGTAGCGGATGATATACAAGAATTAATAATATTGGTAAAAACTGGAATAACTTTGTCTAGACAGTCCTTAAGAACAGAAGTCGGAACAGGATCTAATGAACAAGATTTAGGAGCAGACAATTTAATTAGCTTTAAAACAAAAGATTCACTAACCAAGTTAAAATTTTCTAAATAAACAGAATTTTCTAACTTATCAAAATCATGAGCGTTAAAGTCAATAGTTTTATTTAAATCATCAAGTTCAGTTCGTATTTTCTGTATTTTTATTTGAAAGAAATCAGAGAATAAATTTGCAAGTTCAGTGTCATTATCATTGTCCGGGAGGATAGTACGCTCAGCATTATGGTCCAAAAGGGAATTCACAACTTTATACAGGTCTTTTTGTCTGTTTTCGCAAAATTTTCTATTTTATCAGAGTATAATTTAATTTTAGCATCTTCAATTAATTTATTCACATTGTTTTTTAAAGATTTATGGACATGTAGATTTGTTTTCCGCCACAGATGTTCAGCCTTATAACGGTCCCTTTTAGCTTCTAAAATAGAATCATTAAACCACTGCGTATTGGGATGAATAGTAAATGTTTTCGTTTGAAGAGGAACAAGCGAGTCCAAAATTTCAGCAAGCTTTGAGTGATATTGGGTTGCCTTCTCTTGTATATCTTGAATACGTTGAATGATTGAAATTCGAGTTCACTATTTCAGCTTTAAATTTATTTATGTCAAATGTTTTAAACTTTCGATATGTTAAAGTCTTTCTTGTTGGTTGTGGTTTCTGGATCATAAGATTAAAAGTTGCCAGGAAATGATCAGATATTAATTTGTCCGAGACAGAGAGATTATCCAGTTTAATATCACGTGGATTAGTTATCACCAGATCGAGAATATGTCCACCGTTATGAGTAGAAGAAGAAACATGTTGTGTGAGAGATCTATTATTCAGCATATCACAAAAATCAACCGCGGTAGAGTCGTTGGAATCATCAACATGAAAATTGAAATCTCCCCAAATAATAGTGCAAAACTTAGTCATCATCAACTGGTCCAGAAATAATCCAAATTCTTCCATAAACTTTTGACACAATTTGCTATTGGGCGGGCGGTAAATTGTAATAATCCTAGTTTCCTTGAAAGAAAACTGTAGAGAACAATCCAAAATTTCAAATGAATCAAAACGGTCATGACGGATTTTCTTACACTTAATAGATGACTTAAATATAAGTGCTACACCTCCTCCACGTGAACCGCGAGGGCAATGTTGTATAGAATATCCATCAGGTACTAAAGCTGCGATTGTCGATGAGTCCGAACAGTCATTATTCAGCCACGTTTCAGTTATTCCACAAACATCAATAGAATTTTCAAAAATATAATCAGATAAAATTGTTGTTTTATTTCTTACAGATCTGGCATTAATTAATCCAAACGAAGTTGTTAAAACTGACACATCATTCTCGACCGCCTTTCTAATTTGTACAAGATGGTATGGTAGGCCTTGTGTTCCTTTAAAGAAGTACGCCTACACATCAGTTGTCTCAAAAAATATAAATCCATAGACCCTAATGTTGACCAAATTTAAAAAAACTGCCTTTATGCCTTCATATTCAATTACTACAAAGTTGTAAAAAATGGAATGAAATGGGGTTTAACGTCCACTGCTCTGCATTAAGCAGCTTAGTAACGACAGCCATGTGCCATGCAGTATGCTATGAGGTCAATTTTTTACCCAGACAGTGGCACTACAGCCTACTCTTTATTAACAATACAGCCTACTCTTACTTAGAATCCCAACTGTCAATGGTTCTTTCACGTGCAGGTCAACTAGTACACATGATCTTGGTTTTTTCGAACCATCCGAATGGCTAGACAATTTACTTGTTAGTCCCTCAGTCCTACACCACATACAAGGGGAATCCATATGGCAAAACGTGAGGTTATTTCTAAACTACTGGTTAACGAATCGGCGACTTAGTTAAAGAGACAATAACACTCTTGCTGGCTTGAAAGCTCCAGAAAATAAATAATATCTCTATCTAAGTACTAGATGTTTAAGTGTCCTACCTGTTGTGTAAATTATCCATTACATCCTATTTTACTTGTCCAGAGGGTTCGAAAATATGTTTAAATCGAAGTTTCATTTGAAAAGGTTTACGTTAGACGTTTCAAACCATTATGTTGGATTTTTAAAATTTTTTAAATAAGGTGTGTTAAGATGAAATTTGTATCATCAATTAATTGAAATATTCTAAAATAGTACAATTTGTTGACCAGAATAAAGATTGGGACATATTATTCAGTTACAACAAGAGAGGTATTGAGCCTTTAACAAGATACAAAGCTGTAAGATTAAATCTTGCAGTACTTACCCATTCCATACAATAGTCTTCGCCTGACAGATCACATTACAAAACTTCTGTGTTGATTCCACGCCAATATCCAAACCCTATACAAAAAGGTTGCCAAACACCATAAGATTATATATGTCATAAAGGTTGTAAATTTTTTATAGGTCGCTAGTTGATAAACAGTTATCAAGGGTAAGTTAACAGAGACTCAGCCTCTCTTCCCTATTTTTAAAATAAATCATTAAATAGCGATCGTATTATAATCTGTTTACATCTGCGTCATCCACTGGTCTAGAGAGTTGATTATATACACTTATTATGTAAAAGAATGTCTGAATAATAGTGTATATAACATTTGAACCAATATTAACACCTGTATAATAGGAAGATTGAGCTCTTACATAATGCATCTTTAATGAAAAACTACACCAACATTTAACATTTTAGCTCATTTAGAAATAGACACCTTTTTTTTCCTGTATCACAAGATAACAGTAACGAAAAGATAAATAATAACTCAGCAACAATTCACATTAAATATGGGTGTATGAAAATCTAAAATCAATAAAAGTCCAAAAAAAATGTGAGGTTTCTTTGATATAATAGAACAATGATATATTCACTAACCATGCATCCTGCTGGAATTCCTGAAGAAACTGTAGAATTAGTAATGACGGCATCATCTGAAAACTTGTCACCAGTGACAAAATCACATGGAAGGTGGATCTTGACATTGTTTTTAGTTGCCTTCTCTATTAATTTATTAACAATGCTAGCTCCTTCTGCATCATAAAGTGAGTTTCCTATCTAAAAATAATAAACATGGTCATTCCGTACCAAATCACCAATGAGGTAAACCATACCCCCTTTGACTTTGCTGCAATTCCAGCTTGACAGGACTTACATTTCCTGAGATATGGCCCATTCTATTTTGGAGATTTTGACCAATATGGGTGTGGCCACCAATATTCAAATGACCATAGAATTAGTAACCGATTTGTCAAAATTTCTGAACTGGTTATTGCTGGAATTGCAATTGAACCAAGATTTCTAATTTACCATTATGTTTGACATAAGGGTGCTTTAAAGAGTGATGATGACCTTATGATCTTTACTTTGACCTTGAATGTGTTTCATTAAAAATGTAGCCCTACATGTTTTCTACACAATATAACAAAAAATTGGAGGTAGGCTCAAATATTTTTTGTTTGTAAAATAAAGCCCAATATGCATACCAGATGCCAAAAATCAGTGTCTTTGTACATTAAGATGGATTATGTTTATGATCTGAGGATACATCTGCTGCCAACTTTCCAAATGATGGCAAATAATGATTCAGTCAGTCAGTCATCCTGTTTTATAATTTTGACCCTACCGTATTCAATCTGAATTGCGGTTATTAAACTATTTCTTATCAAGACCCATACAGTAGTTAGTTATAAGAATGGTGTAAGTGGCAGTGCTTCAAGACTACACATAATCGTTAATCCAACACTCGTCCTTCAAAAAAGGGCCCATGAAACTGTTTACCTTACCCATGCTGATTCGTGAAATTCATCCTACAATCACAAAATTTTTCTGAATGGTCTTCCACCATACCAATCCATGCGTGATCATCGTAAGGACAACAGACATAGAACTGTAGATTTATTTAAAGTAGTACTTATTGTTTGCCTTCTATCACCTTCTGATAGTACAGGTCATTGATAATGGATAGTTTGAAAACCTTCATTAAAGATAGCCATGCAAAGTGTTGAAATAAACCCTCACAGTATGGAAGGGTATCGCTGCCAATATTAAATGCTCTGCGACAATGTGGTTTCCATTGATTATATGTAAAAAGTACAATGTACAAAATCATAATACCGGTAATGATAAAGTCAAAATACCTCTAAGGCAAGAGTTAAATGTAAAATGTCAAATGTTATGTGTTAAATGACAAATGTTTTGTGGGAAAATGCTTTTTTTGACGTGTCTACATTTTACATTTCTCTCATTACATTTTACATTTGCTCTCTACCACATCCCATTTGTCCTTCACGCATTCTACATAGCATGTTTCGCACAGCATCAACTTGCATATGCAAATGTAGGATACCACGTGACTTATTAACATATACGGAAACCTGGCACACTATAAGCCAGAACAACGATATTCACGACACTATAACAGGAAATCAGCCTAGCACACAATAAAAATTTACTCACCTTGACACTTTGGATGGCACTTTATGAGGGGTAACTGTGCAATGTCCAAATACGAAATTTCAGGTATCATGTTACATATTAGTGAAAATCACATTCATTTCTGTTTGTAAATATGTAAATAGTTTTCTGGTACAATCTTATTTTCATAATTTAAATCCAATAAATATCACAATATTAAAGGGGTATTCAAGTAAATATACTGGTCTAAATACGAAATTCCAGATACCATGTTAAGTATAACTGATTGCTCTTTTCAAATATGCAAATAATTTTCTGGCACAATCATATTTGCTTAACTTTACAAAATAAGATTAAAGTTGAAGTGAAGGAAGGGTGGGGGGGGGAATAAACTAAACTAAAATAAAGATACATAGCAACTTTCGCACAGCATCAACTTGCATATGCAAATGTAGGATATCACGGGACTTATTAACATATATGGAAACCCGGCACACGCGCACTATAAGGATATTCACCGCATGACAAAAGAAATCAAGCTGGCACACCATAAACCGTGCGTAATTTTGAATGTGCCAGGAAATAATTAATAGATTCAAGCAGCCAAAGAAACATACTTTCCAGTAATTTATAACACAATAACTGGAATTGCGTATTAATTCCCGTATTTTTATATTTTAAACACCCCCACTCTTTCCGGTCTCTCTATAAACAGAGTTGAGTAGCCTACTTTGATCCATTAAAAAAACAACAATATATAAGCATTGTGCCCAACAAATAAATAATATATTTAAAGAGAGGAATGACTATACATCTTTTAGTATGGACATAGAGAATTTTTGATTAAGCCCTGTATCTTTATTTTAGTTTAGTTTATTCCCCCCCCCACCCTTCCTTCACTTCAACTTTAATCTTATTTTGTAAAGTTAAGCAAATATGATTGTGCCAGAAAATTATTTGCATATTTGAAAAGAGCAATCAGTTATACTTAACATGGTATCTGGAATTTCGTATTTAGACCAGTATATTTACTTGAATACCCCTTTAATATTGTGATATTTATTGGATTTAAATTATGAAAATACGATTGTACCAGAAAACTATTTACATATTTACAAACAGAAATGAATGTGATTTTCACTAATATGTAACATGGTACCTGAAATTCCGTATTTGGACATTGCACAGTTACCCCTGAACCCCCCCGTAATCATCATAAAGTGCCATCCAAAGTGTCAAGGTGAGTAAATTTTTATTGTGTGCTAGGCTGATTTCCTGTTATAGTGTCGTGAATATCGTTGTTCTGGCTTATAGTGTGCCAGGTTTCCGTATATGTTAATAAGTCACGTGGTATCCTACATTTGCATATGCAAGTTGATGCTGTGCAAAACATGCTATGTAGAATGCGTGAAGGACAAATGGGATGTGGCAGAGAGCAAATGTAAAATGTAATGAGAGAAATGTAAAATGTAGACACGTCAAAAAAAGCATTTTCCCACAAAACATTTGTCATTTAACACTTAACATTTGACGTTTTACATTTAACTCTTGCCTTAGAGGTATTTTGACTTTATCATTACCGGTATTATGATTTTGTACATTGCACTTTTTACATATAATCAATAGAAAAGACATTGTAGCAGAGCATTTAATATTGGCAGTGATACCCTTCCATACCACAGCAGGTACAGTATTTCTCAAAACAAATATAGCAATACACAGCAGCTTATCCTAAAAGAAAACTTGAAAAGGATAACCTTAAGAAATCGGATCTCTCTATTGTATTGTGTTCATAAATTTATGGCTGTCTGCTGTGTGGGTGTATTTCTACAATAGTGTGATTTTAATTTAATAAAATTTTGAAGTATAAATTATGATGTACACCGTTTTGCTAGATCCACTATTAGTGCCTAGAGGAAATGTTGAGGTTACTTGATTTATCTAATTACATGAGGTTGTAGAGGGTTGGGAGGCTACTAGCTGACATTGATATACTGCTATAGTGAGAGAAAAGGGGTTTGATATCTACCCATACAAACTAGGTCATTTCAGGACTAACATATGGTTCAATTTTATTTTAATAATTCACTAGTGCGTTGGGATCAGGGCTTCCACTTCAAAATTTTCATTGTTGTTAATCTTTGATAAATCATGGAAAATTTGCAAATTAAATTGATATTTCATGTTTTTTATTTGATAATGAGCGGAGCTAAGCAGAGATAAGCAATTTCAATGATCACGAATTTAGGACAAAATGGATGGGGGAGGATAAAACTTGGTGTATAGTTTCACTGCAACAATATCTTTACTAAGTTCGACAATGAGCATTTTTGGCTAAGGTTACATTACGTTAGATAGTGTGATAAACAATTTGTTTCTAGTAATTAATGAGTTGTTATCTATTTAGTGACACCAGCTTCACTCGTGTGAATGAACGGTTACACTAAATTTTGTCCAGTCGCCATTTGTCCTGTCTTGTCATGCCAACAAATATAGTTGCTGTAAGTTCTGATTTTCGGACTGCAACTTTTTTGCCCGCACTAACATCATCTTGCCTGGACTATATATGGCCGGCATGAAACCAATGGTTGGGGTCTTTAGCATTGGGAGGAAACCGAAGGATCTGGAGAAAGCTAATGAAGTTGAACAGGCAACCCTACCCTTTGTCATGTAAGAGCTGGGAATCGAAACAACCTCACTTCACCCAATGACAGACCTTATGATCTAAAGTACACTCATTAAACCATTTGACTGCCTTAACACTGTTTTAGTGAGTATGTATGACTTTTCTGCTGCTGGGCTAAATATACTCACTGTATACTTATTTGGACTGAGGTATGTAAAACAGTAATATTCTGTACTTACTTCCATATTTTCTATAACCTTAAGGAATGTGAAAGCCATTCCTCCTCCAATTATCATTTCATTTACTTTATCCAATAAATTTTCGATCAACTGGATCTTGTCTGCTACTTTAGCTCTAGAAGGAATAGAAAACATTATAATTCCTATATCAAATTTATATTTACCCCGTTAGTCAGAAATTATTGTTTTTAACCCTTAGAACCCGAAATGCCGCAAAACCGGCTTTGACGTTGTAGCACATATACCCGAAATGCCGGTTTTGCGGCTTGTGGGCGTGTCTTCCGACATGTTTCTTTAACCATAACAAAATAGCCAATCAAAGCGCCGTTTACCGTTTGCCCTGGGTCTGTTGTAAATAGCGACTTCCTTCCACTTGTTTACATTTCAGTTTCGCCAAATCTGTCGATGAATTGTTTGTCCTAAACAACTAAATGCAATGGTTGCGCTAGCTTTTATAACGAGCGATAATGTTGAAGATATTGATGGTTCAAATTACGGCAATGGAAGCGATTTCAAAAGTGAATATGCCCTGATTCAAATGAAAATATTAAAGAAATTGACAGCGACGATAACACTCGTTCGGTACTTGTGATCAATTTGTAAATAGTGTTGATCTACATGGCTGGTGACAAAAATATTGGAATAGGGCGTGGTCGCCATATTAGCAGAGTTCAAAACTGCTGGCATCCCAATGTTATGGATTGGACATAAAATTGAATAAAAGTTAAATTTTCTGGTTAAATATATTTGTTTCATCATTTCACACAATTATAAACATATATAATATTAAATTCACACCTAACATTTAGTTCCAATTAAAATGATGTCATTTTGCAAAATCGTGCTGTAAAGTCAGGGTAGGATATGCGTCACCAAAAATATTTTCAGGGTTCAAAGGGTTAAGAAAAAGAACTAAATGAATTTTGATACTTTGACTTAATACAAGGTCATATCATCACATTAAAGCATGGAATGTAGATCATGCCAATTCAATCAATAGCTTCATTTGCTGTTTAAAGTTGGCTGCGTTAAGCTATAAGAGCAGTGGGAAAGTGTCAATTGGGTTAATTAAGGGGTCGGCTGTAAGAGCTGTGGGACAGTGTGCTCTCGGATCCTTGATGATCATTACTATGAGACCATTAAGCTGTCAGAAGAATTTCTAGTTGACCCCAACCCCAACCCATCCTTCCAAAAATCCATAGCTTATCTTCAAGGCCGGGACTGCACATCTTACAGGGATATAAGTATTCCCTTTTTAGCGACCAATGTGTTTGGCAAATTTCACCAAATGACTAGCCAAAATGATAATTTATTAATTTGTCACAAAATAGCATAGTTCATCCTAAAGTCGCTAATGTTCACTTCCCGGTGTTGTATTCCATAATGATGATCCTAATGTGTCCCAAGGTTGCTAACTTTATCACTGTTCCTCTGATAACAATGGTAACCATTTTGTTACAAACGTTATTGAATGATTATAAACTGCACGTCATACACAGAGTTTGGAAGTTTGAGTGATTCTGTGGATATCTGATATAAATTTTATTTAACTGAGTGAAAAATGAGACCATTCGGCACCCCAACCTCCCATCTTGGTAAGCAACAGCAATGATGAACATATGGAAGATCGAAGATAAGAAACACAGATACCTGTATTGACCAAAAGTATAACATACCCGCCTAATATTGCTAAAAATGGTCTGGCAGGATTTTCCAAGGCCTTGGCAAAGTATTCTAATTCTTTCTTTAGTAAAAACCCAGAAGCTTTTTGAGCAAGTTTACATCCAACCATGGAACTGAAAATATAGTTATTCAATAATTAAAAGAATTGTGGTAGAAGGCAACAACAACTCTCATACAGTGGGTCAGATGTAGCTGGAGGCTATGTTACAGGAGGACATCTAAACTGGGATCTCAGCGATACACAAGGGGTTCAGGGAGTCAATGAAATAAGTAGATAGGTAGCCCCTAAAACCAGTGAAGATGACATTTAATTACTTTCTTTTGTGTACAAAACTCATTTTTAACTTGCCACCCATTGGGATTTGTTTATAACAACGAAACCATGATCCAGTAACCAAATGGTGATTTACATACTTACTCTTTACAAGCTTTAAATTATTTATCTTTCCTGTTTGGTCATTTGACTCAAATCACAGATAAACATTTATAGTTGGATGAAATAAACAATACATCGGAAGAAAACTAAAGAAATGCTCAATGATGTGTAACACTTTAAGAAATGCTAGAGAATTAATACGAACAAACAATGTATTTAAAAGATGTGCAACAAAACAAACACTCACCACAGCTAGTGTATAAGCAATTCATAATGGTTGTTACAACCTGGTGATAACTTTAGCCTCAAGGGTATTCACAAGGTTTTTCAGAATAATTGAAAATAATTATCATATATCTTTGAAAAAAAATAGGCTTCTTCATCAAATACATGCCAATAATCAGACTACCAAACTACAAACTTTACCCAGACAAGCCAGAATTTGCATTTAATATACGGTAACAAGTTATCTTTAACTTACGTTAATTAGATATTGACATCTTAATATTGGCAGATAACAATTATCATATAATACTTGCTTTTGAATGCAAAGTCGGTGAAAAAAGTATAAAAGTGAAAAAAGTATAAAAAGTAGTAAAAAGTTTGAGTTTGTGAAATAATATGGCGCAGCAAAAATGATCAATATAATTGGGTTAGATTTAGTTCAAACATATGCAACATAGGTTAAGATACAGTAACTCCATTTATCAAATAACAATATTGTAGAGGGGAGAACCTTTCACTCATTACTGAGATTTTGCCCACATCAGTCAATATTTGAAAAATTGGATCATGATACCGATTTACAGTAGGCTTACCCTAAAACCTTGTGTATTCTGTAAAACAAGCATAACTATCATGTTATGAAGAGTTTTGTTATAGCACAGACAACGAAGCTGTTATCAGTAATTCCTGACAGAAACTTACATAATGTATGCTTACCTATGTGCTCTATGTGCTGTCCCAAAAGCATCATTTACATACACATCTCCTAATTTAGAAAGGGAAGCTCTGAATGTGTTTATACTTTCTTCAGATGCCTTTACCTAAAACAAAACAAATAGTCTGGTAAAGATAAGCCATATGGAGTGGATACCTAGAGCAAATTGCAACAGAAATTCTCTCGATGGAATCTGGTAAAGGGGTTCCTGTAGATCTCCCAAACAAAAAAGATAAGTTTTCGAGTAATAGCATAAATTTAATATGGCCGCCATTGGCACCTTAAAACTCCAATATCTCGGGAATGGTTGAGTTTGGAGGGTGTAAATGTGTTATGGGTAGATAGGAAAGTGGAACAGATGGCTCAGAAAAACATAGCTAAATGACGTCCCTGTGACATCATACGGCCAACAATTAGCAGAAATCCAATATGGCCACCATTGAAATTTAAAACTCTGATATTTCGGGAACGTTTGAGTTTGGAGGATGTAAATGTATTATGAGTAGATATGAAAGTGCTACCAAAGAACTAGAAAAAAAAAAGGCGGGTGACGTCTTTGTGACATTATAATGTCATACGGCCAACAATTAACATAAATCCAATATGGCTACCACTGAAACCGTAAAACTCCAATATCTCGGGAATGGTTGAGTTTGAAGGACGTAAAGGTATTACGAAAAGATAGGAAAGTGCAACCAGAGAACTAGAAAAACAATGCTTTGTGATGTCATAACGTCATACGGCCAACAATTAGCATAAATCCAATAAACCTTAAAATTGCGTCCCTGTGACGTTGTAACGTCATACATTCAATAATTAGTATAAATCCAATATGGCCGCCATTGGAACCATAAACATACAATTACTCGCGGATGGTTGAGTTTACAGGGTGAAAATGTATTACTTGTATCATCTTGTCAAACAATTCATGTATTTCTTGAATATCATTACCTATATGCATGTCATCATTTCCTCTTGGTGATAATGGCAAATTGTACCAGCGCATTTACACATAGTCCGTGACCAAATAACAATGTATTGCCTTTGAGCTCAAAATGTGTCCAACTGTGTTTTCTCGGTAGATTTTCTTTAAAATTTGTCTCATCCCAGAATTGTTCCTAAGGTCAGCAAATAAACCTAGAAAACTCATAACCGTATGGAAACTTCCCGAATAAGAACACTATACGTTTCAGCTTTAAGTCGGATAACTCAATATTCATAATGTAATACTATATGTATCTATGGAGGGTATTTAATTCACTGAATGTTGTTCTGTTCAGTGTATTGAAATCGTTACCTACAAACGACTGACAGTTAGATTTAGGACAATTGTAGGTACGTTGTATTTTGATTGGGTCTGACGATAAAACTTATAATACATTGTAGCTTTATTATGGAAAGCATGACATCTCTATAACATGGTTGCAGCAAGTAACAACGCTCATCTCCGGAAAAATGCACAAATTCATACGTAGTACGCATGCGTATAAATTACAGTTATTAAACTACCGAAGATAATTGTTGACATACTAATAATAATTTGTAAAGACATCACATATTTTCCCTTCTTTTGAAGAAAATAGAAACTTAACATTACAGCGACTAGCTTGCCACATAAATATAATTAAAATAGTAATTACATTTCAGAATATTCAAGAACAGTTTCTAACAGTTATACAACTCAATACTTAGAAAGTTAAACAAGTTTACAATGAATGTTTGACCATTAGTTTCTTGCAAAGAAATACATGAATTATCTCAACTAGTTTGAATGTTTGAACCAATGAATAAATCATTAGACCTTTATGAATGTACATCTATAACACTGTAATATTGTGTTTTTTAAAGTCATACCTTGCACAATAATATTTTAAATAATGAATAAATCATTGAAAGTATAATTAATACACTATTTTACTGTGTATAATCTTGAAGATACATAGGTTTAGTTCTACTTCGTTTAGAAAAACTTAAACACTCATTTGTAGGATGTGAATTAGGAATGCAAATCCTAGGGTTGGCTTGTGAATTATTACTATTCACCTTTTCAGCTCTATACAAAACTAAGTCATTGGAATGCCATTTTTTACCATCATCCTAAAAGGTGAATAGTAATAATTCACAAGCCAACCCTACGATTTGCATTCCTAATAAGTTAAAACATTGCCTTGAATATTAATAACTTTTTTAGGATCTGAATAATGAGAGCTCATTTTATGACCATGTTGAATATTTTTCAACTTAATTCTCACAAAATCATTAACTTTAAATTTATGACTTACAACTCTATATTTATCTTTCATCAGATTTTGTTTATTTGACACGTAATCATTATAAACATCATTAAAACAATGAACATTACTGAACAGTTTTAGCATACTAAATTTTGTCCGCATTTCTCTCCCGGTCATAAGAAAAAAGAGTATTTGATTTGTCGTCGCATGTTTTGTACTAAGGACTTAATCCAAGTAGATTTAGACTTAAGATTTGCTTGCAAAAGAGATTTAACCGTTGAGTTCATACGTTCTATTGATCTGTTTGACTCAGGGTGGTAATTAGGGGTGCGAATATGCTCTATGCCTAGACTATCTAAATACTCAGTAAACTCTTTATCTATAAACTGAGGGCCATTATCACTGGTTATTGATTCAAAAATTTACCATGTACTGAAAATAATTTCAAGAAAATTAATAACAGATTGAGAAGTGATATTATCAGTCATACAACATTCTGTCCATTTGCTATACTAGTCAATAACATTAACCCTTTCAATGCTAGACGTAAATCCACTGCCTGTGCTAGATCCTTTTTTGAGGAAAAAAGTGTGTTTGGAACTAAATGCCAAACAGTACTTATGGAAGCTTTTATGAAAATTCTTTTTGTGTGTTTGGATGGGCATGATGTTGGGCTAAGAGAAAAAAATAGAATTTTGGAAATTCGCATAATCATGTAGTCACGTGACGTCATGGCGGCCATTTTGGATTTTTCATTTCTCACTAAAACTAACATGAAAACGAATTTTTTTTCATGAAATACTTATGGGATTTTGTTTTTTTCACTGGATTTTGATAAAGATATATAAAATGAACAAAAATATCAATAGCAGCCATGAGCAATGCCACCACGAACACGCACACCATGTCTCCGGCTGCCATGACCACGTGCGGATTGCAATACCTTGTTTTTACTTTCACTTTCATCCTCAAGTCCCATATCATTATCACTATAGTCAGTCAATAGATCTACACGTTCGGGACTCAGGAATTGCCTACGTATTTTACGATCCAGCAGGCCAGCATTATTATCAACATCAGAATTATCGTCAGAATCTACTAAAGACATACTACATACATGTAGGGCTATTATGTTCGTCATGCACGTGAGACATAGCCATAGGCGGAAGATCGCGCAACAAATCACGCACTTCATACTACCAATCACTGTCCTGACTACTATTATTATCAACTAACTGGAAACGAATTATGTGCATCAGTACCCGCCTCGAAATTTCCACCTTGGTCAGCGAAGATGCCATTACGAGTTCGCCAAGATTGCATCGTCTACGTTGTCACTATGCACTCTGCCATTTTACGGTTTGCCGCTTTGAAACACGTGGAAATATGTTCTAGTGTATAGAAAATACAAAGATGGCACTTGCAACTACGGTGCTAATTTTAGCGAGGGCCATACTGAGTACCCGGTAATACCGGGTACGCGCATTTTAACGACATTTTATAATACCCGGTACTACCGGGTACACGCAATGAAAGGGTTAATCAGAAATTTAGACCCTTGAGGTGCAGATTCAAATGGTCCTGGAATGTCAATAGTAATATCACTCCATGGATATTTAGAAATTTTATGTGGAGTTAAAGGAGCAGTGGAATGTTTTGCAGATTTGTCACTATTGGCACAACTGTCACAATTGTTTACAAAATTTTCAGTGTCCTTGTCGATCCCTGGCCAATATGCGACCGTTCTAAGGTTTTGTTTTGTTTTTACAATCCCACAATGACCTTCATGGGCTAAGTTTAAGACATCTTTTATTAACAATTTTAGAACGACAGTTCGGTTTCCACGACCTAAACAATTGTCTCCAAACACAAATAGTTCCCCACGAATATGAAAATATGGTAACACATCATCACTAAGATATTTTTTGTATGGCCATGAATTAGTACTCACAAATTCAACAACTTGATTCAACACATCATCTTTACACGTTTCCTCAGAAAGAACATTATGAGTTATTCTCACAGAATTCACAGTGAGAGATTCACACAAATATGATTCATCTATCGAAATGTCACACACAAATTCACTGTCGTGTTGTGATTCACTACTACACTAGTACTCTGTTTATGTAAATGTGACAGCTATAACGTTGGTTGATCCTTTCTTGTATATCACCTGGAAATCATACTCTAGAAGTGTTGCGGCCCACCTTGCAATTCTAGCTGGTTTGTGTCCCGACATATCTTTAGTCGACTGTAAAGTGTTACTAAAGAGATATGATCTGTAACCAATTTAAAATGTTTACCTCTCAGGTATCTGTCTCATTTCTTAACAGCCCAGGTACATGCCAAGGCTTCTTTTTCACCAATGCTATATTTACGTTCGCAGTCAGTAAGTATTTTAGAAGCAAATGCGACTGGTCGGATTTCGCCATTATCTTGAATTTGATAAAGTTCAGCACCCAAGGCATAATCACTGGCATTGCATGTTACATAAGTTGGCAAATCAGTTCGATAGAAAGCTAGAACTGGGGGTGAAGTTAAACTAGTTTTCAAAGTACTCAAAGCCTTGTCTGAAGTTTGAGTTCATTCCCATGAACTAGAAAAAGTTTACGAATTGGCTCTGTTACACCGGCGAAATTGGGAATAAAATGGGAATAATGATTAAAGAATCCTAGGACACTCTGGATTCTTTGACATTTGTTGCAGGTAGAATATCTCAGACAGAGTCAATGTTTTCTGTGAGTATGTGAACTCCTTTAGACGAAATATTAAGAGAAGACCAGGCAAAAATCACAAAACGGTATGACACTCCCTAGGGGCAAAAGGTGAAATGCTGAAGTGGTTACAACCTGATGTCGCTATAAAGGAC